TACTCTACTCTACTCTACTCTACTCTACTCTACTCTACTCTACTCTACTCTACTCTACTCTACTCTACTCTACTCTGTTTATAAGAAATAAGAAATACCGAAATATATTCACATTATCAAGCTGACCTTCCAATCTCTTGTCTGTTCTAGAAATACTGAATCATGAAGACTCTGATGCTCTTGGCAGCCCTTTGCCTTGTTCTCTGTGTTGTACTGCCTCAAACCGACGGGGCCTGCTACGTTATACGCGTTGTGAGATGCTACTTGGTCTACTCCAATGGACGGTGGTATCGCCTCTGTAGAGTGCAGTACCGATATAGGTGCTATGGCAAGAGAGACCAGATCGAGGATGACCAGGTTAATTATGTTTTCTTTTCTTTTGTCAATCTATCGGGTCCCTATCTTTCTTTTGGTCGGCTTCTAAGAGCGTTTACGATGTAGTTTAGTTACAACGACAACGTCGCGTGACAGGCTTAAATTTGGAGTGCGTTAAACAAATGAAGCTCTTAGTTTTTTCGCGGGGCAAGTTTCAACTAAACGAATAGAAAGTAGTCCTATTAATGTTTTGCAAAATTTATTTGCTATGAGAGTTTTGCAAGACAGAATGTCACAAGGAGTGAAACGCATGGTTTACACACTTTGAATATTCTGATTCGTCATTAAAATCTTTTTGTCTTTCAGGGAAGAGCTGAAAGCAAAAGAAAAAGACCAGCAGAAAAGGCTATCATTGAAAAGTTCCCGCACAAGTGCTCTACCTATGACAAGAACGGTGACGGAAAAATCACCTTCGATGAGTTCCGAAAAACCCTTAAAGATGTGCACGACACCAAGACGCTTCGAAAACTCTTCAAAGCTACTGACAAAGATGGTGAGTTCAAACGCGTTCCTACAACAAAAATGTAATCACAAATGTAAATTTTCTCGCTCTCCGATTGGTAGAGAGCCGTGGTAAATAAGAGGGCATAATAACAAATTACGTCAAATTTCGAAAACTCTTTCACGCCGCTGGCAAGAATGAGTTAAAATGTTCCTACAACAGGAAAAAACAAAGTTAAAAAAAGAAAAAAAAGAAGAAAAAAAAAAGAAATTCCACTCTAGATTTTTTTCATTTCGGAATTCATTGACTTTCGTTGAAAACTTTCGATGAAAAAATAAATAACCCTTCGTTGTACAAAATCAAATGCTTTACTAATTATATAGGAGAAAAACACAAAAATGTCGAGTCTAGATTTGTTAGCTTTAAAACTCCTTGTTTTCCGATGTTCACATAGCATAAGTTTGTATCATGCTACCAATACGATGATATTATCATGTTCTTTATTGTATATTTAACAAATTGACATCAGATTTTTATGTG